TTTTCTTCTTGTGAAATATAGAAATCACACCAGCCTTTAAGACTGCCAGTAAAACCAGAAGTAATAATATTAACAATTTAAAGTTGAGTATTATTATGAGATTTATAAGCATTAGCAGCCATAGTCATTTCTTGTAAAATATTCATAATTTGATGTTCGGAATGGCCATCAATATTCCATTCATCAACAGAATTACCATCATATTGAGAACGATCAAATTGAAAAGTTCGTTCTTCAAGTTGAACATCTGGAAGAGATGGTCTATTCCAATAATTTCTTATGGTTGGTTTTGGATTTTTTCCGAAAGTGCTTTGCTTCGATTGATGAATTTTATTAAGAAAATTCATTAGTGAGTTGATTAATATCATCATTTGTATCAACAAATTGTTGAGCAAGAGTTTCAAAATTTGTTTCACTATTAATATCACTATTTTCATATTCGTCATTTGTAAGAGTATTAATATTGTTAGTGTTTGAGATATGAAGTTTTTAAAGTCTTTTTTTCTAATTCGTTAATTAAATCTATATTTCCTAGATTAAAATTACCATCAATTTGGCAAGGAACAAAACTTAAATTACTAGTGCTTGCTATATCTTGCTTATTAACGTTTTTATCTTTGAAATTTTTTTCTTCAATTTTAACTAAATGCTCGGTAATACTAGATAAGGTTTCATTTGCATAATTATTTTGGTAAATAATTTTTTGAAGACCCTTTTCAGTAGTTAATTGATTTGGGGCTTGAACTAGAGGAGTTGCAATAAACATATTGTTAATAATAATTTCTTCTTTTGGTGGAAAATTAGCAATAATTTCTTTATTAGAAATAATATCTTTATATTTTTTCTCTAAAATGGGAGTGATAGAATCATTTTTAAATGGGTAATTTATTTTATGTTTAGGGGCATAAATTACCATTGAAAAAAAGGAGAATGAATTTTATTTTGATAAAACATAATCTTCCCAAAGGCATAAATGGAGAAATCTTAAGTAGTATGAAAAATTTTCTTCGTGCCAAGCTTTTTTGTTATTGTTATAATCTTTATAATACTCAATATATTTTAAGTAATCAAAATAACCTTGATATTCTAAATTCGAGAAATTCATTTTAACAGGTTGTTTTTGTTAGGATTGAAGAAATATGTTTTATTGATTCTAAATTATGACTTCTTGATTTTTCGTATTTTTTATTCCTATCTTTAGCCTAGAATTTTTTTCTATTTGTTTATTATATTTATTAGTGTATGGAGGTATTTTGTATAAATTATAATTTTCATGAGTTCTAGTTTCTTCTATATGTTGAATGGTTTTGCATATATTAGAATTTATCTTCCAGTGCCTTTTTAACATATTAGCCCAAAGCTTATTATTTTTTGAACAATTAATTTGTACTTTAGAACTCATAATTGTTGTTTAAAAATTTGTAGTTCATCAATAAAATCTGATTTAGTAGGACTAGGAAGACTATTTTCACTTTTTTGATCATCTTGATATAATGGTTTGGGAATAGAATTAGTATAGTCAACAGTTTTTAGTTTTAAAGATCTGGACTTTAATAACGAAGATTTTGAAGAGCCTGTTTCTGGGATAAAAGAAGTTGATAATCTGGATGATGAAATATTTAAGGAAGAAAAATTTATATCTACAAAACCATCATTATATTCAATAATATTTGAGATTTGTTTTGAAGAGTCTAGTGGTTTTGGATCGATAACATTTTGTAAGTTCCAATTACATGATTGAGTTATATCAGACCATTTTAATCTTTTTATTGTGTGAACTTTGGTATGGTTAGTATTTGCTTCACAAATAATTGTTTCATTTCTAGGACTTGATAAACGTGTTTTCGGTTCAAGTGTAGTTGTCATAGTTTTGTAACAAACACGATAAATTATTGCTAAAGGCTTTGTATCATCTTTAAATTCTAAATTTTTTGTTTTTATAGTTAACACCAAAGTATCTAAAATATTTTTATCAAATAATCCTACAGAAAAATTTGGATAACAATTGAAATAAATAGGCCCGTTAACAATATTTGTTTCAGCCATAGCTAAAATAGAATTTTAAAAATCTTTATGTCTATTGTCTCTTAAAATAAGGAGAACATGGGCATCTATTCCAATTCTAAATAGAGGCTTGATAGCAATTTGGACTAAACCGACATGTAAAAATTTATATTTCGTTCAATGCTCTAGAATAGATCGTGATGATAACAAATGTAAATTTTGTTGGTTTTGACCAATAGACAAAGTTTGCTCTGTCATTTTAATAGAATAACCTTGAAAATAATCAAAAGTTCCTATTCTATATATTGTATTAACATTAGTTTTAGGTATTGTCCAATTATTCAAACTATGTTCTATGTTATTAATGGTTTCTTCAATAGAATTTATTTGATTATCATCATAATCTTGTTCATTGTTGATACTTTTACCAGGAATATATTTTTTTTGGATAGTATGCCTGAAAATTTACTCATATTTAATTAATTTTGCTTTAAAATTCTATAAAAAAAACTTACTTGTTTTAATAATGGTGAACAGAGGGGAATCGTCCCGACGATGATTGTGGTCCGGCACCGCGACTTACGTCCTTATCTGCGTGCTTTACGCTAATCCAACCAATCATGGTCTTGTCTCTGAATCATGCTTATTAAAACTTATAAATTTCTTATAGAATACTAAACAAAAATTCAATAAATTTGAAATAAATATACCATGCATAACGACCCCAAAAAACTTATATATATATATATATATATATATATATATATATATATATATATATATATATATATATATATATATATATATATATATATATATATATATATATATAGAGGGTTGAGATCCGTTCTAATGAAATAAAAGTGAAGCGTTAATTAACTAATTAAAGGCATGATTGTCATCTTACCGATCACATTTAATGTTTAATTTTTTGTATTAGTGAAAATATTATTAAAAAGGTCTAAATATTAACAAAATAAATCAAATTTAAGATTTTTTTTAAATCAATTTTCGATTTTTTAAATGGAGATTTTTTTACTTTTTTTTAGGAAACATGAATTTTTAACAAAAATTAAAAAAATATATATTTTAAAAAAAAAAACTGCATTATTTTTCAAAAAAACTCCAATTTAATTTTAAAAAATTGTAATTTTTTTAAAAACTGCAATTTTTTCTTAAAAACAACATTTTTTAAAAAAAGTAAATTTTAAAAAATCAGCAAATTAAAAAAAATAACTAGAATATTTAAAAAACAAAAAACTCTAATCTTTTTAACAAAAACAATCAACGTTTTAGGTGCACAGTGTTACTATTTCTTCATATTAAGATCTTCATTTTTTTTCAATTTATCACTTTTCGCATCTTATTTAAAGAGAATTAAAGAAGGAAGAGAAATGAAATTCTATAGCAGATGATAAATGAGAACTTACCCAAATAAAACTGAAGCTGAAGTGTTTAAGACATATGTCTCGCCAACAACTATTTTAAAATGCATCAATTCGGATACATAATAACCTGATGTTCCACTACCATCTCCATAGTGGAGATCGTAGGTGTATTGATTATCGAAACATGAGTTGGATTTCGGAGAACATCTTTCGTCCGAACATAAGATAGGAGAAGATGTGGAGGAGCTTGCAGGATCATAGATAGTAATAGGAATCTGTTCAAAGAAAGAAAAATCATACATATAGTACCAATATTAGTTAATAAAAAGTCACACCTTATAAGAAATGATCATAACATACTTGTAGTGTGGATGATGTTGGCAGGGTTTGCAACCTACCCACAACAAGTCGCTTCCTGTATCAATTACTAGATAGTATTCTTTTTTTTTTTTGGGGGGGGGGGGGGGGGGAATCCTAGCTTGATTTTTGTGTAGTACAAGCTACAAGTTAACCAAATTACAAGATGTTAAGGAATTGAAGAACATGTGACTAAGAACTGGAAAAATTGACTTGTTCACAAAGTCTTTCAAGTATAACTAAAACATATGCAAGAATAGAACAAGTGTAAGTCTTTGTTCATCAAAAACTATAAAGCAAAACGTGAACTAGAATTGAAAAAACAACTAAGAGATTAATCCAATTTATACTAATCATGAAAGAAACCTAATGCAATACGCTTATTGACAAAAAGAATCCTAAATAAATACCAAGAATTAAAAATTTGGCAGTTTTTCCCAGAATACCCCCAACTATTTTTTGTCCTAGATTTTGTTTTTATGAAACAAAAGTTGGTGTGGTGATTAATAAGGATTAAGCGTTGTGACTGCACCACAACAACATAGAGAGGAATTGAAGAACAGGTAATTAAGAAATGAAAAATTTGACTTGTTCACAAAGTCTTTCAAGTATAACTAAAACATATGCAAGAATAGAACAAGTGCAAGTCTTTGTTCATCAAAAACAATAAAGCAAAACGTGAACTAGAATTGAAAAAACAACTAAGAGATTAATCCAATTTATACTAATCATGAAAGAAACCTAATGCAATACAGTTATTGACAAATAGAATCCTAAATAAATACAAAGAACTTAAAATATGGCAGTTTTTCCAAAAATACCCCCGACTATTTTTGTCCTAGATTTTGTGTTTATGAAACAAAAGTTGTTGTACGTACCCAACATCAAAAGGATCGTACGTTCCTAATACTCCAAATCCAACAACCACATTTGGATCAGAATACTTGTGTAGTATTCTACGACGTCTTAAACCATCTCTTTCCGCATGTCGTTTCAACTCAACGCCATGGTTGGTGGGAAACGATTTTTCCAGCTTTAGAGTCACCGAAAACCCAAGAACACCAACAACATGCAGCAACACGAGACACAACAATGTCGAAGTAGCCATTGGTTGTATAGAAAGGGAAATGGGCATCTTTTTAAATCGGGCATTTCTTCCGCTATATCAGCTACCAATGAATCAACACTACACTTTTGTAGTGTTGATTCATTCGTAGCTGATTTAGCGGAAGAAATACTTGATATAAAAAGATGTCAGTTTCCCTTTTTGTACGACCAATGGTGACTTCGACATTGTTGTGTCTCGTGCTGCTGCATGCTGTTGGTGTTCTTGGGTTTTCGGTGACTCTAAAGCTGGAAAAATCCTTTCCCACCAACCATGGCGTTGAGTTGAAACAACATGCGGAAAGAGATGGTTTAAGACATCGTAGAATACTATACAAGTATTCTGATCCAAATGTGGTTGTTGGATTTGGAGTATTAGGAACGTACGATCCTTTTGATGTTGGGTACGTACAACAACTTTTGTTTCATAAACAAAAAATCTGGGACAAAAATTGTCGGCGATATTTTGGGTAAAACTCTTATATTTTAAGTTCTTGGTATTTGCTTAGGATTCTATTTGTCAATAACCGTATTGCATTAGGTTTCTTTCATTATTAGTATAAATTGGATTAATCTCTTAGTTGTTTTTTCAATTCTAGTTCACGTTTTGCTTTATAGTTTTTAATGAACAAAGACGTCCACTTGTTCTATTCTTGCATATATTTTAGTTATACTTGAAAGACTTTTTGAACAAGTCAATTTTTCCAGTTCTTAGTTACATGTTCTTCAATTCCTCTCTTTGTTGCTGTGGTGCAGTCATAAAGCTTAAACCTTATCAATCACCACACCAACTTTTGTTTTATAAACACAAAATCTGGAAAAAAATAGTTGGTGGTATTTTGGGAAAAACTGCCAAATTTTTAATTCTTGGTATTTATTTAGGATTCTATTTCTAAATCACTGTATCGCATTAGGTTTCTTTCATGATTAGTATAAATTGTATTAATCTCTTAGTTGCTTTTTCAATTCTAGTTCACGTTTTTCTTTATAGTTTTTGATGAACAAAGACTTGCACTTGTTTTATTCTTGCATATGTTTTAGTTATACTTAAAAGACTTTGTGAACAAGTCAATTTTTCCAGTTCTTAGTCACATGTTCTTCAATTCCTTAACATCTTATAATTTGGTTAACTTGTAGCTCGTACTACACAAAAATCAAGCTAGGATTCCCCCCTAAAAGAATACTATGTAGTAATTAATACAGGAAGCAACTTGTTGTGGGTAGGTTGTGAACCCTACCAATCTTGCCCTACTTCATCCACACTATAAGTATGTTCTGATCATTTCTTATAAGGTGTGACTTTTTTTATTAACTAGTATTGGTACTATATGTATGATTTTTCTTTCTTTGAACAGATTCCTATTACTATCTATGATCCTACAAGCTCCTCCACATCTTCTCCTATCTTATGTTCGGACGAAAGATGTTCTCCGAAATCCAACTCATGTTCCGATAATCAATGCACCTACGATCTCCACTATGGAGATGGTAGTGGAACATCAGGTTATTATGTATCCGAATTGATGCATTTTAAAATAGTTGTTGGCGAGACAGATGTCTTAAACACTTCAGCTTCTGTTTATTTGGGTAAGTTCTCATTTATCATCTACTATAGAATTTCATTTCTCTTCCTTCTTTAATTCTCTTTAAATAAGATGCGAAAAGTGATAAATTGAAAAATAAAATGAAGATCTTAATATGAAGAAATAATAACACTGTGAATCTTTGTCGCATTTTTTATTTTTTAAATTTTCTTTTGTATCAAATAAAATACTTATACAATTATGTTCATAGATTAATTAATAAAAATACGATTTTTTATGATTTACTTACGAATTTTATAGTATAAGAAATATGCATATGTGCACCTAAAATGTTGATTGTTTTTGTTAAAAAGATTAGAGTTTTTGTTTTTAAATATTTTAGTTTTTTTTTTTAATTTGCTGATTTTTTAAAATTTACATTTGTTTAAAAATATGCTCTTTTTAAGAAAAAAATTGCAGTTTTTTAAAAAAATTATAATTTTTTTAAATTTAATTGGAGTTTCTTTTTGAAAAACAATGCAGTTTTTTCTTTAAAAATTTGCAGTTTTTTTTAATATATATATATATATATATATATATATATATATATATATATATATATATATATATATATATATATATATATATAATTTTTGTTAAAAATTCATGTTTTCTGAAAAAAATTAAAAAAATCTCCATTTAAAAAAAAATCGAAAATTGATTTTAAAAAAAAACTCTTAAATTTGATTTATTTTATTAATTTTTAGACCTTTTAATAATATTTCCAATAATACAAAAAAGTAAACATTAAATGGGATCGATAAGATGACGATCATGCCTTTAATTAGTTAATTTTGATTTAACACTTCACTTTTATTTCTTAGGTTCTCGAGAAACTATAGGTTCTCAACAGATCTCAACCATATATATATATATATATATATATATATATAATATATATATATATATATATATATATTATATATATATATATATATATATATATATATAAGTTTTTGGGGTGGTTATGCATGGTATATTTATTTCAAATTTATTGAATTTTGGTTTAGTATTCTATAAGAAATTTATAAGTTTTAATAAGCATGATTCAGAGACAAGACCAGTGATTGGTTGGATTAGCGTAAAGCGAGCAGATAAGGACGTAAGTCGCGGTGTCGGACCATAATCATCGCCGGGATGATTCCCCTTTGTTCACCATTATTAAAACAAGTTTTTTTTATAGAATTTTAAAGCAAAATTAATTAAATATGAGTAAATTTTCGGGCATACTATCCAAAAAAAAATATTCCTGGCAAAAGTATCAACAATGAACAAGATTATGATGATAATCAAATAAATTCTATTGAAGAAACCATTAATAACATAGAACAAAGTTTGAATAATTGGACAATACCTAAAACTAATGTTAATACAATATATAGAATAGGAACTTTTGATTATTTTCAAGGTTATTCTATTAAAATGACAGAGCAAACTTTGTCTATTGGTCAAAACCAACAAAATTTACATTTGTTATCATCACGATCTATTCTAGAGCATTGAAAAAATATAAATTTTACATGTCGGTTTAGTCCAAATTGCTATCAAGCCTCTATTTAGAATTGGAATAGATGCCCATGTTCTCCTTATTTTAAGAGACAAGAGACATAAAGATTTTTAAAATTCTATTTTAGCTATGGCTGAAACAAATATTGCTAACGGACCTATTTATTTCAATTGTTATCCAAATTTTTCTGTAGGATTATTTGATAAAAATATTTTAGATACTTTGGTGTTAACTATAGAAACAAAAAATTTAGAATTTAAAGATGATACAAAGCCTTTAGCAATAATTTATCGTGTTTGTTACAAAACTATGACAACTACACTTGAACCGAAAACACGTTTATCAAGTCCTAGAAATGAAACAATTATTTTTGAAGCAAATATTAACCATACAAAAGTTCACACACCAAAAAGATTAAAATGGTCTGATATAACTCAATCATGTAATTGGAACTTACAAAATGTTATCGATCCAAAACCACTAGACTCTTCAAAACAAATCTCAAATATTATTGAATATAATGATGGTTCTGTAGATATAAATTTTTCTTCCTTAAATATTTCATCATCCAGATTATCAACTTCTTTTATCCCAGAAACATGCTCTTCAAAATCTTCGTTATTAAAGTCCAGATCTTTAAAAGTAAAAACTGTTGACTATACTAATTCTATTCCAAACCATTATTTCAAGATGATCAAAATAATGAAAATAGTCTTCCTAGTCCTACTAAATAAGATTTTATTGATGAAGTTTAAAATTTTAAAGATTATAACAATAAAAAAAAAGCTTCGCACGAAGAAAATTTTTCATACTACTTAAGATTTCTCCATTTAGGCCTTTGGGAAGATTATGTTTTATCAAATAAAATTCATTCTCCTTTTTTTCAATGGTTTGAATTAATTTATGCCCCTAAACATAAAATAAATTACCCATTTAAAAATGATTCCATCGCTCCCATTTTATAGAAAAAATATAAAGATATTATTTATAATAATGAAATTATTGCTAATTTTCCACCAAAATGAGAAATTATTATTAACGATATGTTTATTGCAACTCCACTGTTGATGAATGGAATATTGATGGCCATTCCGAACATCAAATTATGAATATTTTACAAGAAATGACTATGGCTGCTAATGCTTATAAATCTCATAATAATATTCAACTTTAAATTGTTAATATTATTACTTCTGGTTTTACTGGCAGTCTTAAAGGCTGGTGTGATTTCTATATTTCACAAGAAGAAAAAGATTATATTTTATCTGCTAAGAAAACTATTATAAAACAAGAAAATAATCAACAAATACAAACGTTTGAAGATGATATGGTTAACACGTTAATTTTTGCTATTATAAAAAACTTTGTAGGAGATCCTACTAATTTTCATGAAAAAGCTTCAGAAATTTTAATGAATTTAAATTGCAAAAAACTTACTGATTTTAGATGGTATAAAGATAATTATCTTGTTAAAGTTTTTTCGAGACCTGATTGTAAAGTACGTTTTATTGCTGGCCTTCCAAAACTCTTTGCAGAAAGAGTTGGAAAAAATTAAGAGAAAATTTTAATAATACCATCCCTTATCAAAATTTAACTTATGGAGATTTAATAAACTATATTAATAAAGAGGGATTAGCAGTTTGTGCTGATCTTAGGTTTAAAGAAAAACTCAAAAAGGATAGAATTAACAGTAAAAATGAATTGGGAAATTTTTGCCAACAATATGGTTATCAGCCCTTGAATAGTCCGTTTACTTCAAAATCTAAAGTATATAAGAAAAGATCTTCAAAATATTTCAGGAAAAAGAAACATAATCTTCCAGAAAATTATAAAAAGGGCAAAGATTATGCTTCGAAATCTAAAAAACCTTATAAACCAAATTATAAAAAAATCCAAAAGAAAATAAAAATATATTATTATTTGTCATAAATGTGGGCGTAATGGTCATACAACTAATAATTGTTATGCTAAGACAAAAATAAATGAGTTAAATGTCTCTGAAGATTGGAAAAAACAAATAAGAAAAATTATTTTAAATATCGATTCAGATTCCGATAAAAGTATTTCTGATTGTCAAACAAATGATTTAAAAATTCTCGAAAATACTACTTCAAGTTCAGAAGATTCTGATATTTGTGAGTGTATTGGTAAATGTCACTGTAATAATTTAATCAATATAATTACTAGTAGTTCCATTAATGTTCTTTCACAAGATGATAAAGATATTTTCAAGTCTCTTGATTCTATAAAAGATAAAAATATCCAAGAATTATTAATAAAACATATGCTTAATAAAACTAATAACATAACTCCTGCTAATAAAGAAAATTTTAATTTAAAAAATATATATGAAAGATTTACTGAAGCAAAGCCAATTTCTATGCAAGAACTTCAAGAAGAATTCAAAATAGTAAAAAAAAAAAAGAAATAAAAGAAATAAAAAATAAAATTTTAGTTTTAGAAAAAGAAAAACCTTCTAATTTTAAAAACAAAAATATAGAAAATAATAACTAAGAAGAAAATAAAATTGAAAATGTAACTATTCGTAAAATTATAAATAATCAAGTGTCTCAAAAATGGAACACTCAAATTACTTTAGTCAGGGATAATTTTAAAATCAACCTAAATGTTTTAATTGATAGTGGTGCTGATATGAATTGTATTCAAGAAGAAATTTTCCCTACACAATTCTATGAAAAAACTACATCTTGACTTACTGGTGTCGGAGGTACAAAATTAATTGTAAATTATAAAGTTTCCGATGTTGATATTTGTAATGACCAAGATTACTGCTATAAAACTCACCTAATTTTAGTAAAAGATCTCTCTTCTCCTTTAATTCTAGGAACGCCTTTCATTACAAAACTATATCTTTTTATGGTTCATGATGATGGTATAAGAACCAATGTTTTTGGAAAAGAAATTATATTTAAATTTTGTGAACCTCCTCTATATTCAAGGATTAATGTCCTTAATTATAAAACGCAACAAGCCAAATATCTTATTAACGAAATAAATAATGTTCGAATAACTAATCAATTAAATGATAATAATATTAAAAATAAAATAACCGGTTTAAAATTAAAATTTTAAAAAATGTTTGTTCTAATATTCCTAATGCCTTTTGGAATAGAAAACCACATATTGTAGAACTACCATATATAATTTTTTTTAATGAAAACGATATTCCTTCAAAATCTAGAGCCATTCACATGAATAATGAATTAGAAAGTCATTGTAAAAATGAAATTCAAGATTTAATAAATAAAAAACTCATAAGACCTTCTAAATCACCGTGGTCTTGTTCCACATTTTATGTTAGGAATGCCGCATAATTAGAAAGAGGATCACCAAGATTAGTTATCAATTATAAACCTTTAAACAAAGTTGTAGAATGGATTCGTTATCCTATTCCTAATAAAAGAAATTTGCTA